GAGGAAGGGCAAGGTTGGGTTTGTAAATAACTCACTCTGGAGATGGTGATAGGGCTGAGGGGCCAAGGACGAGACCATCAGGATGGTCCAGCTAGGTGAGTGAGTGATGGTAAGGCTAGATCGGGCAAGGCAGCCATGGAAAGCAGCAGGAGGGCAGTTTGGGAAGGACTAGGGGCAAGGTGGACAGACTTGGAGAACAACAGGTTGGGGAGTGGGGGTTGTGAGGGTTGTCTCCAAGATGGGAAGAGCATGGACGCATGTGTAGGGGGCAATGAAGAGTCCAGGTCTGGACACAGGGAGTCTGGGAGGGCATGCACCAGGCTGTTCATGTTGCCAGCCCGCAGGCAGCAGACTCCAGTTCACAATTGTAGGATGAGGGGGACAAGCCCTGGCCTGGGATTCAAAGACCCCGGCTCTAACCCCATATGCCCACTTCCTCTCTGGGTGACTGTGGACAAGCTACTTTGCCTCTATGGGTCTCAGGCTTGCATCTTTGAAATGAGGGACAGACCCAGAGTCACCTGCCCAGCTTACCTCCTTCACCTGTAACTCATCTCTGAGGGCACAGACTACTGAGAGCTGGGAGAGTAATAGGCCTGAGGGAGACCCACCCCAACGTCTAGGGCAAGGGTAGCAGATGGCTTACTCTCTACTGGAGCTGTCAGAGAAGTTGCTAGAAGGTTGGGCTGGCCTCACCTCCACTCCAGCCCATGCAGAGACCAGACCAAAGTGTCTGTTCCCCAGGACTAGAACCCAAGCCCTAAGTTGACGAATGATGCCTGAGGATGGAGGGATGGGCTTGGAGGGCAGCATTAGAGCTGATGGGGAGAAGGGCTGTTTATAGCTCAGGGGAGTTCCAGCCCAGCTCCTCTGCAGCCCCCATGGGGACCTCAAGGGTCATCGACACCTGCCAGGCCCACCTCTCAAACGGGATTAAAATAGTGGACAAGGAATATTACAATGACAGCTGCAGCAGCTGCCAGGTTGAACCCTATCAGGCTCTCCTCAGCACCACCTCATAAATCCTCCTGGGCCTCCCATCCCCCCTCTGAGAGGTGCTGTCACTCTCCCCACTTCACAGGCAAGGAATCTTCTGAAGTTCAGTGAAGTTGAAGGAAACTCCTAGAACCAAGTGCACAGTTCATAGCCCAGACTGGAGGGGAGGTTGGGGTAAAACCAGGGGTGGGGATTGGGGGTGCTAGCCAGGTTTGAACCTCCAGGGACTTCCTCTATCTTGAGTCTCAGATGTGGGAGCCTTAGCCTGCTGCCCAGAGTGACCATTGGAGTGACCCCTTGGGTAGCTGGCAGTTGGGGACGGGGCCCCACACCCTGCAGTCAGGGGTGGGGAGGACACATTTGCCATGAGAGGCTGTTGAATTTCTGGCAAAGCCCAAACCTGCTTTATATTAAAACTGGTCTAACAGGTTGGTATGACAGGGCTGCCCAAACCTGCACAGGCTCCACTGCTGGAGGAAGAAGTCCTTTGGGAGGTCCCCAGAATCCTCCTGCCTTCTTGTTCAGGCCTTGTTTCAGGCCCCTTGCCCCTCCACTTTACTGTGGGCAGCTGTGCAGGGTGAGACGGCTCCCAGCTGAGAGTGGAAGCAGCCCAGTCATGCCCTCGGCCCTATTCAGACCTGTGTTCAGCCCAGCAAGACTTGCTCAGTGGGCAGATTAAAAGCTGGGCCCAGGTGCAAGGGCCCCGGTGCAAGGGCCCTGATGATCCAGGGGGTGTTAGGACACTTGGTGATCGTGGTCGAAGCATCCCAGCAAGACCTCTCACTGATGAGAGAAACCTGGATGACCTAGTGGCATCTCTGTTCCAAAGTCATTCCAGAAGGGTGTTGTGAGTTCAGGGAGGGACACCATGCAGGATCAAACGCCAAACTCTCCTCCCTGTGGTCTGGTAGAATCCTCCAGTCCCAGCCCCTGTCCTCCAGAAAGCCCTCCTGAATCACCCTGCCCCTTCTGCATGCTCTCAGCACCTTGCGGGGGCCAAGGCTTCAGCATGCCAGCCCCTGGGAGGCAGAGCAGAGCAGTGGTTACACAAGCAAGGTCTTGAATCAGGGTTTGAACCCTGGCTCTCCCCCTCACAAGCTGTGTGACCCTGAAAAAGCCACCACATCTCTTAGTCTTACCTCTTCTGCTGTGAATCGGGACAACCTCTGCTGGTGTGCAAGCCTGCGTGAGAACTCAAGGGGCACGAAGCCAGCCCAGGATCACAACGTTGCAGCCTTCACCTCCTCCTCCCTCTCACACCCTACCCTGCCATATCCCATACCTCTTAAACTCCTGTCTGGCCTCCTGCCCCCAGGCCCTTGTGGGGCCATCCCTGCCCAACTGACAGGTTCACCCCTTAGAAATGAGCATTGGATCACAGCATTTCCCTGCTAAACTCTGAAGAGGCGCTCCACACACCAGAATAAAATCCACGTGCCCCCCTATCCTCTCCACCCTTCCTCTACCTCCTCAGCCTTCCTGGGCAGCCATTCCAGACTCCTTACTCCTGATCACACCAGGTTTGTTCCTGCCTCGGGGCCATTGCTTTGGTGGTTCCTTCTACCTGGGATGTCCTTTCCCTAAGTTGTCCGTCCAGGTTTAGTGCCACTCTGTTCCACAGCTTTCCCTGACCCTCTCATCTGCAGCAATGTCCCCACACCCAAAGCCACTCTCTGCCCTGCCCACTGGTGTGCTTTTGTCACACTCTCAAAACCTTCCTGAGCGCCCATTTGTTCACTTGTTCATTGTCTCTTGCCCACCAGCCCATGAATCCCACAAGGATGGGGACTGTGTCTGTCTTGTTCCCTGCTGTGCATCCAGGGTCTAGCTGGAGTCTGACCCAATTGGTGCCCAAGGAACATGTGTGCTGGTAAAGGACTCAGTCAGTAAAGGGTTGCCATCAGTTACCGTCTGTATGTTGTGCAGGGTTCTGTGAGCCCACCAGATGGCTCCTCTTTCTCCCCAGCCAGTGTCAGCAGGGCATGCCCCTTTTCCTAGCTCAGAACCACCCAGGGGTAAGTGCATTGCCTAGCGGATTTTCAGCATCTGTTAGGCTGGGTCTGGGGCCCGAAGGCATGCCCTCACTTGCCCCTGTCCTAGGCAGGCATCACTCACTCCCCTGATTGGGAAACACGAAAAGAAGATTGAAGCAGAAAAATATCAGAGGTCAGAAGTAGCTGGCAGCCCCTCCCCAGGCAAGAGTTGGACCCTGGCTTGAGCTGAGGCAAGGGTGAGGAGGATAGGATTCTCTTAGCCATGCCACTGGCTCCAGAGACCCTAGCATGCAGGGACACAGGCATAAAACCAATGTCCAAGAGCAACTCTCCTGAAAGCTGCCACTGTGGCTGCCTGTTCTTGCCATCTCATGTAGCAGGCCAGGGGCAGATGGGCAGTTGGGACCCCTCAGGGTTAGCTCTGTTCTGTGCCTCACTTCCTTAGCCAGTTCCTTGCCCTCTCTGGGCCTCAGTTTCCTTACCCATGGAGTATGGGTAATATTTAGACCCACTCCCAGGGTTGTGGTGAGCACTACAGAGGGTGTAAAGCACTGTCCGTTGCCAGCACCTGGCAGGCCTCCTGAGATGTGTCCCCCTCTATGGACAATGAAGAGTTTCTGGGCTTTTCTTGCTACAGCAGCTTTCTGTCTAGGCTACACAGCACCAGCTAGGGAACAGCCTGCCTTTGGCTCCTCTGTGTCCACTACTCGCCCTCTGGGTGACTTAGATCTGGGAATGGAGCAGACTGAGGGGCCAACTCAGGCATTTTGGGAGTCAGAAAAGGGCTGGGATCCAGGCTGAAGCAATGAAGAACCACAGACATCCCTGGCAGGGCCACGGTGACCTGGAGGAAGTGTGCCATCAGGCCCTGCAGTTAGCAGCAGATAAAGTGCCAGCTTGGATATTTGGGGCCTGGGCACCACTCCCAGTAAAAGCAGCCCTCATCTACCTCTGGCTCACTCTCCCCCAGCATCAACTCCATTCTTTGCCATGACTATCTCCATGTCCCCCAAGGTGCTGTGCCTCCATAGTTCTTGCTTTTTATCCTTTCCTGCCTCCTCCTTGTTATCAACATGTCACTCTTCACACCTCCCTGCTCTCAATCTGCCAGGATTTGCCTTTTCTAATCTGCAACTTCTAACTATCTAAGGGCTAAGAAAACAGGAAGGTTAGAACCATTTCTAAAATAAGGGTTAGAAGGCTATGAATGAGGTTCAGAGGAGCTTTCTTATGATGTATTTAAGTAAAGCTGCAGAAAATTTCAGGATGTAGTGGGATTATAGGCTGAAGTATTCCAAAGTCAGATCATCAGATAATGGAGAGTTTTCATTTTAATGGCTCTTCCACCCACTTCTGGTGTGCAGGACCCTGAATGAGAGAAGAGGGTCCCCCAACTCCAACCAGCCTGGGCCAGAACCCCACCAGCCTCCACCTCAGGCCAGGCCCTGCCAGCTTACTGGCCACTATCCCCAACTCAACTATTCTTCCCCACAGCACAGAATGACCCCTCCCCAGGCCTCTCTATGGTCAGGAATATGAGCTTCCCAGTCACGCCCTGGTGATTTCACATGACCTGTACCTTCTCCCCGGAATGGCTGGCCCTGATTCCTCTGACTGTTGGCCTCATCTCAAATATGCTACCCCCAGGAGTGGTCCACATCACTCATCCCCCAGAATTCTCTACTTTCAATCTTTAATTGGCATCTCCTGTTTACACATCTTTCAGGTCTGGTGCTCCTCTGTCCACCCGCCACCTGGCAGTGACCTGGGCAGTGACTCTGCAGGAAATCTAACTGGCCTTCACCTCCTGCCTCCCATCCTCCAAGGGGAACAAAGGGGAATGAGAGGAAGGCTGTTCCCTGTCCCATCTATTTTATAATGGTTCCCCCGGCAGGGCCTGCTCAGCCATATAAGGTCTCTAGGCCTCGGCTGACTCAGATGTAAAGCTGAGGATAGTGATAATAAGATCAAAGGGGACAAACTATGTACAGAACTCAAAAGAGGCCCCAATGGGTGTTCCTTAAATGAAAGGTACGGTTTTATTGTGATTACAGAAAAATCAGTGGAAGAAAAAGACTACCAAACTTTTTTTTGTTGTAATAATTATTTTATAAAATCTTATCAGGTATGTATTTCTTCCCCTTTCTCACGTGCAGGCACCTTCCCGGGCAGGAAGCAGCCCCAGCAGAGCGCGAGCGGCAGCCCTTCAACCAGCACCCGCTTTCCTGACACAGCACATGCGCTCACGTGGGGCCTGTACCCCAGCAAGACCAGCTCTGCGCAGATGGAGCTCTGCCCTGCAAGAGGGTGGAAGGCAGGCTCTGCTGGAAACTGACACTTTGGTTCCAATTTCTTGTCCATTCACTCACCCTCCTAAAACAGGGCTGCGGGCAGAAGAAGGTGGACACATTGACAGGCAGGTGGGTCAGTGCCAGGACTTCCAGGACTGCCTTGGGTCCAGCAACATGTCTCAGGATGGGGCTCTCCGTAGGGAGGAACCAGAGAAGCTGGGGCAGAGCTGGAGTCTCCAGAGCACTCAGGGCTCAGGGCTGAGAGGTGGGGTTGGCTTACCCTGAGACCAACCCAAGAATAAATAAATAAATACTATATAACTGTGCAGTCCCCAGCCCGGCTTGCTCCCCTGCTCCAGGGGACTGTCACTGTCAACCTCAGTTCCTCTGGCTGCCAACCTCCCTGAGATGGGCTGGCTGGAAGGAGGGGGCCCGCCCCACCCTATGGACTAAGAAACCAGGGTTAGGAAAGTCCACATAGTTCAGGAGGCCACAGCAAACCTGTGCCCAGCCCACAGGGTAAGACGAGGTCCTGCCTGTCTCCCTCTCTTCTGACACATGGCTCACCAAAATGGAGCCACATGGGAGCTGGGGGCACAACCTCCAAGTTGTGTGACACTTCCCCCTACCCCTCACCTCCAGCCTTGCTCCTGCTGGCTCTTCCTGCCAGATCCATGCAGGCACCAGGATGACGGGAGGAGGGACAGTGGGAGCCCAAGTCCAGCTGGGCCCAGTGTCTCTAGGGGATGGCTGGGTAAGGCTAGGCGGATGCTTGGCTGAGTCAGAGCTGGAAAGGGTACTGTCGGAGGTAGTCAGCCATGCGCCGGGGCAGTGGCAGGCAGTCCACGTCGGCCACCAGACGGTTGATGACAAGGCGGCACAGGTGCTGCAGGCTGCGGGCACTGCTTCTGCGCACAAAGGGCTGCACCAGTTTTAGGTGCACAGCAGTGGCCGCAGGGGCAGGCAGCGTTGGGTCACCAGGTGCATCTTCCTTAGGGGTAGGCAAGGCCGGGGTGGGTGCAGGCTCAGTGCTGTCACTTCGGGTGTCAGCAGCACAGGAGGCCACATAGTGCTGCACAAGGCTGACCACATCTGGGAAGGCCAGGATGCGTGGCCTGGACAGGCAGTTGGAGTCCAGACGGAAGCTGGAGTCGGCGTACTCAATGCGCACATTGGTGGGGCCGCGAGTGGTTTTGACTGACAGAGTGAACAGGTAGCTGGGGTGAGTGCTGTCCCGTACTAGGAATGTGCCCTCTGGCATCTTCTGCAGGTGTTGCCGGGCCTCGCTGGCAGTAATGGAACCCCAATACCAACCTAGGCAAGTGAAGAGGGGACCGAGAGACTGGTCACAGTGGAAATTAGCTGGGGACACCAAACCAGGGCAGGGCTCTGTCTCCCCCTTCCCACTTTCTAGGCAGGGCTGTACCTCTTCCAGCAGACTCTCCTGGGCAGGGGCATGCCTCCCAAATCAGACTCAACAGGCAAAGCCAAGCTTCCCCTATCAGACTTCCCAGGGCAAGGCCTGTCTCCCTCCTCAGACTCACCGGATTCCCGAAGGTAGGAGAAAGTCTTGGCTATGCACAGCAGATCTTCCTCGGGGTCCAGCACCTTGGGCTCACTCTCTGGCTGGGCTGGGGTCTCCTCTACCACCTCCTCCAAGAAGGTCCCAGCAGGCAAAGGCTGCATAGCTGGCTCAGGCAGTTCCAGGGACTGGGCCCACAGGGGCCGTTGCCCAATCTGCTCCACGGCCAGCAAAGGACAAGGTCTAGAAGAGGGTGGATGGGCAGTGAATGGAGGCCCGGTTCTCTCCCCATTTCCAGAAATCACCTACACCCAAGACTGGCACATGACATCTGGCCAGTTCATCTTACTCTGAGCCTGTTTCCCCTCTGCCCACCCAGGGGCTCAATGAGACCAGTACTTCACCTCCTACTTGTCATCACAAAAGGCCCCTTGATGGCTTCCCATACATGTTGTCCTCTTTTGAAAGAGACTTCTCCACCCTCCTGCATTTATTAAACAGTACTCTCTCTTTCTCTGTTTTGCACTAACCAAAAACACGGATCATTAACTATAGGCATTTCTAGCTCACAGTGGCCAGTTAGCGTCCCCACCACACTGATAGGATCCAGTGCAAAGAAGCCTCACATTGGTGCCCTCCTGGCTGAGGTGGGCTGATTAAATGGCACTGGTTCTGGTTGGGTCATGGGATGGGCCTGTGTGGGGTCCTCCAGAGAGGCCTCAAGATTATGGTAGGAGGCCTGAGGTCACATGCTGCTACCTCCCCACAGATAAGAGTATCTGTCACAGGGACCTGGGTCCACACTGGCCAGGACTTAGAGGCTGGAACAATCTCCCCAAACAGGGGAGACTCCTGTTCTCTGTTCCTCCAAGCCCAAGCTCTGAGGTGGACAGTGGCCTATAAAGGCACTGGCAAGTCCCACCTCCCATAAATATGAGCTCCCACCAAAGGGCAGGGTACTCATCCTACATTCCAGATCCCACCCTGGCAAGTCAGCTGTACTAGGCTCTATGATATTTTACACACCTTGCCCTTCACTAGGCCTCAATTTCCACCCTGCAATGAGGGGTCCTACCACCCCAGATACTGACGGGTGCGGCCACTGGTATTCTTAGATGGCTACGCCTGGGTTGCTGAGTTGGCCTCAAACAGAGCAGTAGCTTCCCTCTAGGGTAAGCCCACCCAGCCAGCATGGTGATCCTGGGGCTTCCTGGGAGTGAGAAGCAGGGCATGGCCCTGGTTGCCAAGGAAGAGAGCGCTGGTCCTCCCTCCCTCCTCACAAAATACATCCTCAGGCTGGTCCCCTGCTGGGCCTTTGAAAACAAAGATAATGAAACCATGGGCCCTGCCCTAAAGGAGAACTTATAACCCAAGTGAGAAAAGCAAAAGTGTCATTGGGGAGTCAGGGTCTGCCTGCTCCTGAGCTGAGTCTGCCAGGTCAAAGGAAGGAGGGGGAGGCATTCTGGGCAGAGATGACAACAAGGGTAAACGGTCCCAGGTAGTGCTTACAAGGCAGGAAGAGGTAGGCAGGAACTGATGGCAGGAACCAGATAGAGGAGTCAGATCTGACAGTGTAGGTTATAGGTGACCCTTAGAAGATTTTAACAAATCAGGGCCCCATGCCCACTCATGAGGAGAAGGGGCAGCAAGACCCTGGCACACCAAAGCCTGCCTAATACTTTTCCACACCCAACCTGGCTGCACTATGGGAGCTCTGGAATCCCACTCGGGGAGCTGGAGGCTGAGTTCCAGGGAACTGACTTGTGGCCTGCCTGCTGGGGCCCAGAGTTCAGCTCAGGCCCAGGAGCCTTCCAGGAGCATGGTAGTAGCTAGGTGGTCAGGCCAGAACCTCTGGGGGTAGCCATGTCCAGGCAGTTTAGCAGGGCACATGAGGGCCTGGGCACCTCTGGGGCCGATACGGTGTGTAGGTGTGTGAGTGGCTATATTGGTCTCCACAGGCTCCTGGTGAGTGACTGTGTATCTGAGGAGAGGTGTGTCCAGGGCTGTGTCATCGTCATGGCAGGGGAGGTGGCTGGTGTGTTCCAGGTGTGGGTGGCCTGTACGTGTGTGTGCCTGCTGTGGAGCCCAGCCTGTGAGTCCTGCCTGGGGACGCATGCCAGTGGGGCACGCTCAACCCCGAGGGAGGAACCCTCAGCAAAGCTAGCAGCCCAAACCTACAGTTGGGAATCCCTGCCCGCTACCCCAAGAGGGCACCAGCTGGTCTGTGGCTCTGTGTGTGGTCTTAAAAATCTTACTCCCTGACACCCAACATGCGCTCTGAGGCTCCAAGCGGAATTTCAGCTGGAGCAAAGTGAAAAAGAGTGTGGGACCCAGAAACTGGGAGGGTCCGAGGAGGAAGGCAGTAGTGGGGGAAGTGTTCAGGAGTCCCGAAATTCAGAGAGGAGGAAGGTTGATGCTGGAGACAATCAGGGAGAATTACAGGACAGTTTTCCTGGCACCTCCAGGTTTCCTCCCTAGAAACAGGACTGCTCAGAGCAAGGGGCACTTCAGCCTTGCCCCACCTTCCACCCTTCCTCACTCGGTACCACGCCAGTTCTGATAGCAGCCACTGGGCCACCCGGCTCTCCCTGGGTGTGGAGCACCCAGGCATATCTCCTTTCTCTCTCCCTGGAGTTTTCTGAATTCCTGTCAGATCAGTCTGGAGAGCATCAGACTCCTCTGATGAAGGGGACGCTGAGGCTCTGGGTGGAAGGAATATGCCAAGAATGCTCAGCTGAAGCCAAGACTCTGTCTTATTAGCTCTCACCCCACCTCCACAAGTCTTTGGGAAACTGGAGAAGGGAGACAGAAGCTGAAGTCTTTCTCACAATGGGATCCCAGGCTGGGCTGAGAGGTGGGGTGAGGCGATGGTAGGGGTACCCCAGGAAGGACCAGGCCAAATCCAGACTTTTCCAAGAACTGCTGGTCAGTAGGTCAGCCTGGGGAGAGGCAAAGATCTCAGGCTGGCTTCCCAAGAAGAGCCTAATTTGCTAGCCCACGGCAGGAGAGTGGATGACAGGATAGAGAGGGGCAAGGGCTGGCCCAAGGTCACCACTAGGTCGTGTGGCTGGCAGGCTAGGGTAGAGCGCTCTGAGCCCAGAAGGGGGTCTGGGCAGGTGAGCCACGTCTTGGAGGACGCGCTGCCGTTGGCGTCCACCTGCTCCAGCCAGAACCCAGGCTTAGCTCACCCTGTGTTCCTCCTGTCGCCAGCCGACCTCACAGTTGCCCTACCCACAGTGCGAGTAGAGGTGGTGACGGTGTTGTCACCATTCCCTGTTGTCACTCCCGAAGTCCTTCCGCGCCAGGTCATCTCCGACCCGTCAAGTCCTCTCAATACCCGGCAGCTAGCATGAGGCCGGTACTCCCCGGTGTTCGGGCGCGGAGGCTGGGCGGGAGCACAGAGCCGCGCTTACCCCTGAACGCAGAGGACCATGTCCCGGCAGCGGCAGCTCCGGAGCTGGGGCTCGGCCGGACGGCGGCGGCTGGAGGGAGCCAGCGGGCGCGGATCGCACTCGTAGGGCAGGCTCCCGGGGCGCACAGGCGGCGGGCAGGGACTGAGAGGCGGCAGCACGGGCGGGCCAGGAGGACGCGGGGGGCGGGCAGGGCCGGGAGGGCGGGGCTGGGCGAGCCACCTAATCTTTTGTCCTCTGTGTCCCAGCCCTTCCCGGAAGCGACGTCTTCCTAGAACCGCCGCCTGTGCTGCCGGACTGGGGAGGGGCGCGGTGGGGAGGTGTCAGCTCCTGCGTCTGGGGCGGAGGGTGACTAAAGGAAACACCTTTGACAGATTTCCAAGAACTTTCCAGGAAAATAGGGCGGGGCCACACGCGCCGACCAATCGCCTCGGAGGAGGCGGAGCCAAGTGGCCAGGGCGGGCCAATTGCAGTGCGTGAATCCGAGGCGGACGTGACCCAGCGGCGTTGAGCGTAACCAAGAGACCAGTAGTGAAAGACCCAGTTGAAGAAGGCCAGGGATGGGGAGGGAGAGGGGCAGGGGTCCTACCTCTCCCCCCCACCCCCACCCCCACCCCGAGTCCAGACTTCCTTTGGGCGCTCCGCTTCGTCGGGCACAGGGCCCCTTATCTCTCTGCAGAACCAGTGGCAGCGCGAGGGCGGGGTCGTGGGCCTGTCCTCCCAGCTAGCGGCTACTGCAAGGCGGTCTGTCTGGTGTGAAGCGCCCCCTCTGGGCCGCGCTTGGATCCCGCCCCCCGTACTCTTTGTGGGACGGTGGGAAAGTGGGTGGCTTGGGGTGGGGTTTGGAGAGAGACACGGCCCGGGGAGGAGTGCAGGGGGAGGCCTTAGATCAACGATGGCCCTGAGCAGATCCACGGGGGTCAAGCCTGCGGCCACCACAGCCAAAAGAATCCGGGAGAGAACGATTTCTCTGAAAGAGATGGGTGTGAAGGCACATCCCAACCTTGTGCACCAGGCAGGGCCATCCAGTCTCGGCCCCACGCTGGCCTCTGGCCGGCCGCCAGCCAGGGAAGAAGTGACTACCGACTTGGAGAGGCAGGCACGGATGGTCAGCTCTAGCTGACCCCACAGGACAGTCCACATGTGTCTCTGGGTTGGTGGTCCCCTGCCCCCAAATGTGAGAAAGAGACCTGGAGCTCCAAACACACAGAGATAAACTGAAGTTAGGAGGATAAAGATAGAGGGATGGAGCAAGGACACCTGCTGCAATCTACATGAAGCAGTTGCTGTGTTTGATCCTCAACAGCTGTTATTGCCCCCATTATGTAGATGAGAAGACTGAGCCCCGAGGAACAAAATGCCTTGCTAGGAAATAACAGGGCCAGAGTTTGATCCCAATGCCAAGTCAGAAGTGCATGCTTCTACCCCCCACCCACTCCACCTTTTCCCAGTTCACTGCATTCACCAGGGAGCATCTGGAAAGGCCATAGGGGCTGTGCACACCTCCTCCAAGTCTTTAGGCCAAAAGGAGAGGGAGAGAATTGGGCAGGTGGCAGGGTCCACTTCCCCTCACTGCCCAGTGTATACCCCCAGGTTCCCCAGAAAGAAGGTAAACGTCAGGTTCCCCTGGCAAGGATGACAGACTCCTGGCAGTGTTCAGAAGCCTGAATGATAGTATCCAGGCTTTTCCCAGGGCAGACAGCGCTGAGCTTGCCCTGCCTGGGGTGAGGAGGAGGACAGAGGGGATCCAGCAGCAAAACCCAGTGAGACAGGAAACAATAATTAATTAAGATGAGAAATGACTTCAGGGGACCAACTTCTCTGTAAATTTCCAGAAGGGAAGTTGAGCTTCAGTGTAGCCCTGTGAGCCCCTTCTGAGTAGGCCAGAAGGTGGTTTCTTGGGATGGGGGCTGATGTGGAGACCTCATCACTCACTTTGATGGCTGGGGCACCTGGAGAGCCCAGCATGGGGCCTCTGTGTAAGGTGCTGTCTCTCCAGTAGGAAGTCTGCTGTCCTATTACAATGAAGAAAAAAGGGCTTCACAACTGCCAAGCAACAGAGCTAGGATTTGAACCTGGGTCTCTATGGGGCCAAATCCCAAGCTCTCTACCCCAAGACTCTTCTACCTCCCTCTAACTTTGACTGTTTTACTGAATGCTTACCATGTGCCAGGCACTCTCAGGAATTTCTAGCTTCATTTCATTGTCTAACTACTACATATTGTCCCCTCTTTACAGGTGAGGAAGAGGCACAGAGAGGTTATACCGTACCCTAGATCTCACAGCTAGCCAGTGGTGAGTTGGGGCTTGGATCCCAGGGCCCTTCCCCCACCCCCACTTCCTCTTGAGGCACCTGCGACATGCCAACTCTTAGGCGTCCTTCAGGATCCAGTTTTAACCTTCTCATTGACGCTTCCTTGCCCCAGGCCAGTCAATGTCAGAGCACCATGGGTGTCCCCTTGAAAGTGTCCCCTACAGAAATCAGTGATTGCACAGTTCTGTGTGTAAACTAAAGGGTCCCAAGCGTTTTGCCCTCCACCCACCCTTTGTGAATTTGAGTGTTACGCACCTCACCTGTGGTGTGCTCCTGTTTTGCCCCAGGCACCTGCCTGCCCCATGTGTTGTGGGTCCCTCTGGCCATCTCATTATCGCCTCTCCTGCCCTAGCTGCTCTGCTGGCACCCCTGCTTTGACTGCTGGGCCCACACTGCCACCCAGTGGCAATTCCTCCAGCTAGTGGCAGTTCCTCTTGTGGGTTCACTTGCCAGATCTCCATAGATATTTTTGTTTGTTTGTTTGTTTTAAGATTTTATTTTTCCTTTTTCTCCCCAAAGCCCCCTGGTGCATAGTTGTATATTTTTAGTTGTGGGTCCTTCTAGTTGTAGCATGTGGGATGCCACCTCAGCATGGCTTGGTGAGCAGTGCCGTGTCTGCGCCCAGGATCCATGAACTGAACCACTCAGCCACGGGACGGCTCCAACCATAGATTTTTTCCTTCCAGGATAACTCCTCCCCTGCACTCCAGGGATTGGCCTTGCGGGATCTTCCTACCCCTCCCTACCCAGAACAGTCCCAGCATGGGTCATGAGAATACACAGCAGTGCCTTCCTCCAAGTCTGGCTCATTTGGTTTCTACATTCTCACCATGTGCAGCCTCTCCTCTCCTGGAAGGATAGTCCATAGGTGTATGTATGGGGGGGTTGGGGGTGTATATTCAGTACCTCCTCCCTTAGGCACGCATTGGACCCCCCACCCCCCATCTCTGTAAGCTATTCCAAAGGCCTTGGCCCCCATCCCCTTGGACATAAAGCTATCACGGAGGGTTGTGTGGCAGAGTCTGCCACCATGAACCCACCCCTGCCCCAACCTAGCCATCCCAAATACTGAATCCTCCCATCAGTGTGCAGTTGGATGTGGCAGATGGTTACTGCAACATGAGTAGCGAGGGGAAATCATGCATCCTGACTCTTCTAGGTTAAGTGAGCAGTTGTAAAACATCTCTGATGGGCCCATGTGGGGAACGTGGTGCTTGTGTAAACACTGGCATTGGATATGGAGACTGCAAGAGGAGAGGCATCGCCATTGCTTACTTTTTACATTTCTGTATAGTTTGAATTTATTATAACAAGCAAGTTTTATGCAATTAAAAATTTATGGAGCCAGCCGGGTGGCACAGCAGTTAAGTTCGCACCTTCCGCTTCTCGGCGGCCCAGGGTTCACCGGTTTGGATCCTGGATGTGGACATGGCACCACCTAGCAAAAGCCATGCTGTGGTAGGCGTCCCACATAAAAAGTAGAGGAAGATGGACACGGATGTTAGCTCAGGGCCAGTCTTCCTCAACAAAAAGAGGAGGATTGGCACCAGTTAGCTCAGGGCTAATCTTCCTAAAAAAAATTTTTTTTAATATAGGGGCCAGCCTGGTGGTGCAGCGGTTGAGTGCACACGTTCCACTTCGGCAGCCCAGGGATCGCCAGTTCGAATCCCGGGTGAGGACATGGCACCGCTTGGCAAGCCATGCTGGGGTAGGTGTCCCACATGTAAAGTAGAGGAAGGTGGGCATGGATGTTAGCTCATGGCCAGTCTTCCTCAGCAAAAAGAGGAGGATTGGCAGCAGATGTTAGCTCAGGGCTAATTTTCCTCAAAAAAATTTTTTTAATATAAAAAAGAGACCAGTTAAAAAATACAATTACAACATTTTTAGGACAACTGTAATCTAACTCCATTTTTATAAAATAAGATAACTCAAAGACCACAGCATATATTGAGTTGCCCTTGGAAGGAACAAGGAGCCAGCCTCCATCCTCAGCTGCCTAGCACTCTGCTATGAGTGGGACCCTGCTTGTCCAGAATAATACCTGCTTAGCTTCAGGTTTGCCTGGCCCAAACCAGTGGCCTCCAGAGGGAGGGTTTGTCTCCAGTCTTTAAGCCGCAGATGCTTCTGGATCACAGGGCTTCCTCCAAGGCTCTGAGATCTTGGATCAGATTCTCAGGTGGGGCTCAGGGACAGAGATTTCTGGGTCCAGCTGTGCATAAATGTGTGTGCATGTGTGGTGTAAACATATGATTGTGTATATATGTGTGCATATGTGAACGTGCGTGAGAGTATGTTTCTACATGTGGATGTGGGAGGGGGGCAAGGAGGCACATGACAGGAGGGCATAGTTTGAGGGTGAGAGCTGGGCCCTGGGGTTGTTCTTGGGGGTTTGGGATGGGGGCTATGCTGTGATAACTACTGACCTTGGGCAGGGCTTGACCTCTCAGGGCTTCTCTTTGTCTTTTCTGTCTGTCCTGTAGACCATGTAGGATGCGTATGACCCTCCCTCCTCAAGTCCCACTGAGGTCATGGGGTGCCCAGGCAGAGCACCCACCCAGCATCTGATCTGAAAGAAGGTTCAATACGGTCAGTTAAGGCTATCATCAGGGTTTCTGTTTCACCGAACCCTGCTAGCTTGAAAGTCACCTCAAGGAGACAAGACAGAGCCCCCACACTCTCATCCAGCTCAACGTCTGCACACAGTGGGTGCCCACTCTCCAGGACCTGCAGCCCAGGCATCCACCGCCACATCACCAGGCCCCAATCCTGAAGCTAGAAGAATGGCTCAGACTCCTATGGGTGAAACCAAGGCCGCAGTGCCTGCAGTCCTGCTGGAGGCCTGTAGATGACAGCAGAGGCCCACTCAGGGATCCTGCCTGAGTTGCCCCTTCTCAGTCCCAATCGAGCCACCTAATTCAGGGGGGTGGGAGAGATGTGCAGTGGTAGTACAGATTTGTCCCAGGAGACAGCAACACCCCCTGCGGCTCTAGATGAGTTGTTTCCTCTCAGGGGGCCTCAGTTTCCTCATTTGTGAAATAAGAGTTGTTTAACAGCCTGTGATGGGAAAACTGGCTCGAAATATGGTCAAAATATGTAAGATAGTCTCTCAGAATAGAGACCTAAATGTGGAAGGGAAACACATAGCTAATGGAGAATATCTGTCACTGGAGTGGGGGGAGAAGACTTTGTGAACACGACACCAAAAGCCCACAGCATAAGGTGAAAAAATGATGGATCTGACCAAATGGGAATTTAGGATTTCTGGTTTAAGAACGCTGTATCCCAAGGGGAAAAATAAGCCACGGATGTGAGAAGGAGATGCACAGAGGGGAGAGATGTCAGTGCCAGGGAGACGCCTAGAGCCACCAGGGACTAGAGAGACGCGAATCACAACGAAATGCCATTTCATTGGGGCATGTTGGCAAAAATTGAGACTTCAGGTACGCGGGCGGTGGGCCACCACTAAAGTCGCAAGCCTCACACGCCAGTGTTGGAGGGCCGCCTGGCACCGTGCAGAGAAAACACCCAATTCAAATGGCTACCTGAGGTTCCAAGAGAAACAAGACTTCCTGCGCTGTCACTTGCTAGGTCGCTAGTAATATCTGAGGCTCGCACTGCCCATGGGGGACCTGGCTGAGCTCGCGCGGTCTCGCCCAGCTGCTGCTACAGCCTACGAGGTTTCCGCCCCTCGATAAGCCACGCCCCCTATTTCTGTCCCGCGTCTCTGGGGCGGGGCCTCGCAAGGGCTTCTGCCCCGCCCCATCCTGCCGGGGCCTGCCTGGCCCTTTAAGGCTGACCTAGCCCGGCCCCAAGTCGGGGACGAGTGGGGGAGGGGGGACGGTCACGTGGGCCACCGGCGGCGCGACTCCGCTCAGGGAGCTCGTGGCTGCCGGCTCCTGCGACCGCCGTCCCTGCCCCTCGCCGGCGCCGCAGCCAAGTGCACTGCCGTCAGGTACGCTCTCGGCAGGTACGCCCTCGCTGGTTCCCTCCACCTCCCGCTCCCGGGACCTCGCGGCCACTCTGCTCCCGGCGCCCTTCCCTCTTGACAGGTGCCTGGGCTGGACTCGCTTGCGCCCAGCTGCGCGACCACTGCCCCCTGCCGCGCGTCCGCACTCTCGGGCAGTTCGCTCCACATTCCCAGCCCTGTCCCCGGCCTGCAGCCCAGTCTGGCTCAGGCGATCCGAGGAGGAATCTGAGCGGAACTCACTCTTCTCCTCTCGCCTAGGTGGCCCTGGACGCGCCAGGCTGGGGCCGCCTCTGAGCGCCCCACGGGGGCCATGGATGTCGAGACAGCAGAGGAGCAGGGGGGCCCCGCGCCCCCGCCAGGTGCATCCTGCGGACCCGGCTCAGCCGGTGCTCCGGCTCTCGGGGGGCGGCGGGAGCCCAAGAAGTACGCAGTGACCGATGACTACCAGTTGTCCAAGCAGGTCCTGGGCCTGGGCGTGAACGGCAAGGTGCTCGAGTGCTACCACCGGCGCACAGGGCAGAAGTGTGCTCTGAAGGTCAGTGACCCCTCACCGCTGCGGGGGTGACCCAGAGGGCCCAACAGCAGAGGCCTGTGGGTGCACGATATGTCCGGGGCCCCTGCTAAGCTTCTTATGCACAGTATCACATTTCATTTTCATATTCCCCTGTAAGGTCAGGCTTCTGGTCCTTCCTGCTTTACAGATGGGGAAACTGAGGCTTAGCCTAGCTAAACTCAGGGTGTTCCGCGGAGCAAGGGGTGGAGTCAGGATGGGTAAAACCTGCTGTACCCGGAAGCAGGGAAGGAGTGGCTCTTGACTCAGGTTCTGGCTGGGCCTATGTGTTGGGCCCTAAGGGGGGACCTGGCTCAGTTTAGCTGCTCCTTCCATGAGAAGATCTTCTGACTGGAATGGGTCTGAGTTTCCCTCTCCCTGAGGCTGAGTCCCCACCAAGATTTGGGGTGAAACTACTTTTCTTCTGTGGCCCCTGCCTGCCTGGGCTGAAATGGTGTGAACCTCCTAGGGCTGGCTGGTGGGCTTGTGCCCATCGCACCTGTGGGCAGGAGGCTGCTGATAGGCTCCAGCTGAGTCACTGACCCCATGTTGAAAGAGGCAGGCCCTGCCCCAAGCCTGACTCACCCTGGTTCCTGGGCAGAGGGTGGGCCAGCCATCTAGCCATGTCACACCACAGGCTCCCTGGAGGCCTGGCTAAGACCTCACTGATACAGGTGGAATCCGGGGAGTTCTGGGGGTGGCTGATCCAGCCAATGTAGTTCTGGCCTAAGTCACTTGGGTCTGGGCCCGGGACCCTACCCTATACCCGGAATCCCTTGAATTTTTCATCACTGGGAACTTTATTCAATTGCAGCTTGTGTCAGCAGCCACCTGGATGGGTAGAGCATGGCAAGGAGAGTGGCTTCTGGAGGTCGGAATACAGCAAAGAATCTTCCCATTTTATAGGTGCTGCAATTATGAGCCTAAGCTCAGAGTCCTGCAGATGTGGCTCTGATCTCTGGCCTGCATTTGCCAGCTCCATGACCTTCGACTGGGTCCTGGACTCTTGAAACCAGGTTTCTGCCTCTGTTCGGGGGGGAAAGATAAGGGGTTGATGTGAGCTTGGAATGAGATGACACACCCAGAGTAATTGGTTCAGGGCCTGGTGCAGGCCTGGAGAGGCTACAGAACTTATTTAGGCCACAGGGTCTGCAAGTATCTGAGCAGGGACCTGAGCCCAGCTCCCTGTGTCTTTCCCGGGGCACTCGGGCTGATAGAGGGATCATCTCCCCTGGGTGGTCTTGGAGGGGATCACGAGGGTGAGTCCAGAGGAGGCTCAGGGCTGGGCTGGTGAGGCTGGGTCCCAGGCACAGCTCCTTTACCTACTAACCCAACAGTGGAGTGCGGGTTGGGAGACCCTTTTGGAGCTCCAGGGAAAGGATTCTCTGAGTCCTTCAGGAAAAGGTGTCTCTTCTGAGGGGGATAGTGGCTAAGGGGGTGAGAAGTGAGAGTCTCTACCCCCTCCCTCAGCACCATCTCAGCCCCTTCACTTGTTCCGGGGTCCAGGGGCAGTCTGGGTGGGTGAGGGGCCAACTGAAGCCAGGGAACCTCTTCTTAATACCAAGGCTTTAGCCCTGTGAGCCAGGGCTGAGCTCTGACCAGCCCCTGTGGTGCTCCAGATGCTGAGTGAGGCACAGGTAGAGTGGGAGGCCGGAGTTCGTGGGACCAGGAAGCACCAGCTTTAAGCAGAGTTGGGCCTAGGCCCTTCCCCATAGGTGCTGTGTCTCACAAGTGACTTGGGGAACTTCTGACTATACCAACTTCCAGAGCACCTCCTCTTGAATCTAGGGCCTCAGTGATTTCTCTGTGCTCAACTGGGAACTGGGGCGGGCCTAGAACAGACCCCCTACTCTACCCTTTTAGGCTTTATGGGTGAGCATGGCTAGGGTTAATGGCTTTGGGCCTTCAGGACCTGGTCCTAAGTTGGCCCTCAAGGGGTACATGGGTTAGATGTGGCCCTCACCCCAGCACCTTCCTCCTCTTGCCCTTTCCTACTCCCCCTCCAACGACCAAGCCTGGAAGTCCCTATCCAGCTACACAGGTCCTCATTATCTTCTGAGATGGGACTAGCACAACCTCTGGCACATCATACCTGTACTGTGAGTGTTGACTCTAGCCTTGAGGAGGGAG